TGGGGAAGACCATCTCTCACAACCAGAAAAAGGCATAGCTTCCTAAAGGATAAGCCACAGAGTTCGGGGAGGAAAAATTGCTGCTTAGCTGAAATGAATGCTTGACTTGTCCAAGAACACTGGCTAGTTGTCTGGACCCCAGGGTGAGCTACTGCTGAGCCCCGGGCACCACTATGAGGTTAGATGGTTGTGTTCACCTTCTTCAGCAGGCCATCACTGTTGTTAATATTGTTTATGGCTGTCACTAATTCCTGGAGATGAAGACGCTCTGGTTCCCTGTCAGCCCCACCCCCTCCCAGTAGCCCCCCGAGACCCAGTCCCCAGCAGCAGGCACATCTCCAGCCTCAGGGAAAACTTCCTTTACGAGCCTAAGTATGTGTTGCCTATGCCCCCCTCTGCACCATGGCTCCCTCTGTTCCCTGTTTCTGGAACACATTTCCCCTTCCCTCCATTTTGAAATTAGGGGACAGTTAGGTGACATACCTGCAGCACAGGGGGTGTCATTCTTCCTAAAACACAACCTAAGAAGTTTTGTGTCTTTTTTTCATTTTCAGTGTGTTATTGTTGTAGGAAAAGAACAAGTAAAACGATGCGCAAGAGTCATCTCCTGTCCCACCCTCTCTGTTCATCCAGACCCCTCTGCAAAACAATCACGTCCAGTTCTCAACTATTGATTTTGTCATTCACCTCTGTGCTTCTAGAAAATGTTCTTTTTTAAAAATAATGTTCCTGGGGCGCCTGGGTGGCTCGGTGGGTTGGGCCGCTGCCTTCGGCTCAGGTCGTGGTCTCAGGGTCCTGGGATCGAGTCCCGCATCGGGCTCTCTGCTCGGCAGGGAGCCTGCTTCCCTCTCTCTCTCTCTGCCTGCCTCTCTACTTGTGATCTCTCTCTGTCAGATCAATAAATAAAATATTAAAAAAATAATAATAATAATAATGTTCTTATGTTGCTGTTCTTAGATCAGTTTCAGTCATCATGTACTTTCTAGTACAAAAGATGAGGATTTTCCTCTCTTCTGTGGCTCTCCCTCACCTCACTCCTTCCAACTAACATATATGACATGTTTTTGGTTAAACCAATTGTATTTATGATCTATATTTCTGTAAATAGCTCAACTATTTAGCATGAGCTAGTCACCTTTCTTATATGTGAACATATAACTATTAATTAATCCAATAAATACTATAGTTATAATATAGTATAGTTTAGTTAGAGTATATTATAGTATTGGATTTATAGACGGTGACAACAAAGTGCCTCTTGCTAGGGTTTGTGAGATCATGAAGCCAGTAAAGGGCAGAGCTGGGATCTGAGGCCAGACAACAGGTCTGCTTCTGGAATCCAAGCTTTAACCGCTGGGCGATCCCACCTCCATAGCGTGTTCATGGAGTGCTTACTATTGTGCTCAGTGCTGGGGCATGCGAGTGCACAAAATTAATCCCCAGCCTTCAAGAACTTGTATTTTGGGGAACACTGGAAATAAACAAGTGGCCGAGTAGACATGAGGTCAGGGGTGCCCAGTGGGAGGAACACAAGAAGCAGAGTCAGGCCGGGGAGCTGCTGTTCAAATGAGTCTCCTTGGGGAGGTGGCAGAGGCTGTGCAGGGGTGAGTGGGAACCACGGAGGTGGGTGGAAGGACGTCACAGGCAGAGGTGAGGTGAGCCAAGTCCCTGAGCCCAGAGCCTGCCCACAGTGCTGGAGGGGCAGCCAGTGGCTGGGGGCTGCAGGGGAGGAAGGAGAGCAGCAGGGAGGGGGTGAGGGAGGCAGCCTGAGCCCCTGGGAGCACTGGGATCTTTCTAGGTGGGATGGGGGCTCAGTAGAGCATGGTGAGCGGTGCAGGGGCTGGGCGTGAGGCTGGCAGAGAGGCCCCCATGACCATACATGGAGAGCACAGTACAGGGCCACGTGGTGATGGGGGAGCCTGGGACAGGACCCGGCGGAGGGGCTGCTGGTGGCTTAGCATCAATTCAGAAGTGGGAGATCTGGCGCCAAAGCCCCAGGCTTCCAATGTGGCTCTGCCCCCTCCTGGCTTTGCGGCCCTGGACAGTTTAGCAAGAGGAGCCCCAGGTTCTTCATGGGTAGAATGGAGACAGGGTGGAGGGGGCGGGACGTGGGGGATTCGTGAAATACTTTGGAGGCAACAGGCCTTCCTGATGGGTTGGATGTGGGGATGCAAGGAGGGGAGGTCTGAGGTGGCCCCAGGACCTGGGCTTGGGCACCGTGGATTGTGGTGGTGCCTCCAAGGGCATTCCGGAGCACAACCGGAGTCTCCTGGAGCATGGGTGAGCTCACCGGCCCCGCACAGGCCCAGGGACTTGTCCAGTGACTCCTGCAGCATCTCCCTGTCCCCACTGTGCTGAGAGCTCGGGGCTCGGGGCCATCCAGTCCTGTGTCCAGGGAAGAGAGACTCAGCCTCACTGTGACTGGTCCGAGAGCCCCCGCCTACCCCGGCCACAGACAGAGTCCCTGCATCTCCAGGAGGGTGTCCAGCCTGAAGCCCAAGGTCAGCACAGAAGCCACGCTGCCCAGCACGTATCCTCGGGCTCAAGGTCATGAGCTCTCTGCCCAGCAGGGAGCTGCGTCCAGGCAGGATGGGAAGTTTCCGAAAGAGCCTGAATGTGGGAGAAGCCACTCCCATCCTAAGCTGGGCTGGAGGTGCTGACCCGGGAGTGACGCAGCCAGTGCAGGGGAGCGGATGTGGCCAGCAAAGGCCTGCTGTGGACCTCAGAGGCTGCAAAGACACAACCACAGACTTATGTCCTCTGCCTGTGGGTGTGAGAGAGAAGAGAGCCTCGCCTCCCTCCCCCTCAGTGTGGCTTCTCAAGGTCCGGGAGGGACTCGAATCTAGAAAGACCAGTGGCCTAGGAGGCCTGAGACCTGGGCCTGGCTCTGCCCCATCCTGGCATCCAGACCAGGGGCTCATCAAATCACCTACAGGTCCCGACTTTGCCCATCTGTGACATGGAGGGTAACCCTGAGCCCCGCTGCCCTCACAGGGAATGAGCTTGGGAACCACAGAGGCCTGGACACATGGAAGCCTGGTGACCTGAGCTGTTTTGCTGCACAGGACGGCGGGAGGGGACAGAGATCGGTATCTGCAGGTGTCAAAAGTCCCTGGGCTGCCCCAGCATGGAGTGTGTGCAGGCCAGACCTCCAGGGTCCTAGCCTGCAGCTACTGGGGGCTCCCTCCTAGGCCCTACACCCAACCCCAAGCTGGGGTTTGCACAAGCAAACAGTTCTCACCCTGAAAGGGCTCACTCAGGGCTGTAACGACGGGGACAGGGACACAGTCGATTTGGTCCCCATCACCCTGTGATGGGATGAGCTTCCCAGATCTGGACTCCTTCCAAGGACTTTCTGCCCACAAGGCTCAGGGACAGCCCGTGGAAGGGCTCTCCCATCACAGGGTGGGAGCAGGGAAACCAGGCAGTGCCGAGGGCTCTCTGGTCTGAGGGGCGCAGAGCAGTTCCAGGGGAGCCCAGACTGGATGCGGTGATAGCTGGAGGCCACACACTGGGATGGGACAGCGGCGGTGACACGGGATTTCTCAGAGTTCCTTGTTGGGAGTCAAGACCCTGACTCTTGCTCTGCTGGGTAAACCTCTGGAGGGAGGACCACACCCTTAGGACTCGGGTCTCACATCTATAAAATGGGTTTAAGAGGCTGACCACCTTGAGTATGGGGCCCCAGGCCAGTCCTGGGGATCCAGTCTGAGGATCTGAGGGTCTGAGAAGGTGAAGGGGAGTCAGAGAATGGGGAGAGGGACACTTGCCAGGGGTTGGTGATGGAGCTGCTCCCCTAGGGTCCATGGGAGGCCAGGGTTCTCAGAGAATATAGGAACCCCTCTGGGAAGAGGAGGCCGGGCCTGAGTTGAGGCCACTGAGCCTGTAGCCAGAGGCACGTGTCCCTCTCCAGCCCTGCCTGTGCGTGAGCGGGCACCCGGGGATGGCAGAGACTCACAGGAAAGGGGGTTGTGGGGCTGCTCCTGTGGGGGTGGGCTTGGTCCTGTGGTGGGGGGCAGGGCTGGTCCTAGGCTGCAGAAAGAGCCCTGGGGACAAGCAGTGGGGACATGCCCGTGTGTGCATTGGGGTGTGGGGGTGACACTTCCCAGGAGTGCTTTGTTCTCGGGCTCCTAGCTTCTCACCGTGACAGCTGACAGTGAGGTTCCTAGAAAATCAGAAAGGAAATGTGACTTGTGAGATGGTGTAAAGACAGAGGACAGTCCCAAAGCAAGAGAGGCCCCGCATTCTTGGCTCTAGAAGATTACTCTGTACCTGGCCATCGGCTGGTGCTGGCGAGCAGGGTGGCCCGGACTGAGTGAGAGCCCAGGGACACAGATCAGGGGTCCTGGGGGTGCAGGTTGGGGAGGGGCAACCACCAGGCTGGTTGTGAGCACAAGGACGGGGCCTCTTCAGCACCGGGCCTCCTAAGAGGAAGCTGTCTCTACATTTATTCTGCAATTGCCTCCTTTTTTTTTCCTTTTTAACATATATGTAATGTTTCAGGGGTACAGGTCTGTGAATCCTCAGTCTTACACGATTCACAGCACCCTCCATAGCCCATACCCTCCCCAGTGCCCATCACCTGCCACCCCATGCCTCCCACCTCCCTCCTCTCCAGCAACCCTCAGTTTGTTTCCATAGATTAAAAGAGTCTCATGGTTTGTCTCCCTCCCTGGTCACATCTTATTTCATTTTTTTCCCTTCCTTCCCCCTACAACTCCTGCCCTTCCTCTCAAATTCCTCATATCACAGAGATCGTATTGATAATTGTCTTTCTCTGTGCAGTTATCTCCTGAGGCCCCTGCAGGTGCTGAGCTAACAGGAGAGATCGGAGTGGGTGACTCTAGGCTGGACCGTGAGGTCCCCGAATGAGCAGTCGGCCCCGCCCTCGGGGTGTGGAAGACCCTAAGGGCTCTTGTCTGTGATGCTTTTCCTCTTTTCTAGACTCTGCGCTCTGGTATTTCCTCTGCAGCCTCACAGGCCCAGGCTGGGCCAGCAGGGAGGCGGCCGGCCATGGGTGCCTGCTCAGAAGACGCCCACCTGTGCGGGGCCTCCTGGCTCCTGCATGTCACCAGCCTCCTCCTCAGTGAGTGGCCCGGGCCCCTGGGAGGGAGGCCGCCAGGCGGGCAGGGAGGCAGGAGCTCCCGGGCTGGCTGAGGTCTGTGCTGAAGGGCCAGACGGAGCAGCTCCGCGATGACGGAGCACACGCGGGGCGCTGGGTTAGAGCCCCGGGGCGGACAGAGGGACAAAGGGAGCTTTGGGCTGAGGCCAGGCTGGGAACCCCGACCCGGCTGCCTGGAAGGGAATCCCTTCCCCCCCCCGGGGGGGGGGGGGGGGTGAGGCCGGGAGACCCGGAGCCTCGTGGGGAGAGGATGGAGGAGACACAGGAGCACCTGCGGGGACCCGGGGTGGGGACGGACATCCTGCCTGCCGTGCACGGGGACCGGCAGCCTCTGCAGCTGCCGTGTGCAGGAGGGGCCGACCCAGAGCCCCCGTCTGAGCTGGAGGGGTCGCGCTGGTCTGGCTCCTTGGGCAAGATGAGGCCCCGAATCCAGCGACATTCTGTTTGCAAACGACGGAAAGGAGCCCCCAGAATTCAAGGGTCTGTGCCCACCTGCTGTGTGTAAGGCTGAGCTGGGAACGGGAGACTGCTGACCTGGGCCCTGGGTGGGGGTGACCTGGGGGTAAGGGAGGGAAGCAGAGATGGCTCCAAAAAGAGAACTGAAAGACTGTTTTAAGGAGAGCCCGGTTTTCTGGTTCTTACCTCATCTGAGACCATCTGCTTCTGTGTAACATTTTAAATAAGAACAAAGGAGAAAATACTGTGCTCTTGGGATTTTTGAATTCTGCAGACACCTGGAAAGCTTTTATTGTCTGTAATGTTTGCTGTGAACACACCAGCCCCTCCCTGCCCGTAGGATTATAGGAAATTTTTGGATATCAGGGCATTTGTAAATAGAGAGATAAATCATTAGAAAAAGAGCTTTGCAAGACCCTTTTAATAGGGTAACTTCCCGTCAGCAACAGGGGGGCTTTCTCTTTTCACTTTCATTGAACTGGAGAAATATGAAATATTATCTTGAATGTCCTCCATAAACATCTGGATTGTAAAACTAAAAATGATAGAAAAAAGGAGGAAGGAAGGAAGAAAGAAGGGGAAAAGGAGGGAAGGAAAAAAGGAAAAGAGACAGAAATGGACAAAATTTTACATTGATGGTTGAAAGTTAAGTTTCATCTTATTTAAATAAACTCAGACTCTCTTGCTCACAGCACCCGCCCCTGACCTTCTGTCCCTCTTTGGCGTCAGCACCTTCTGCACATCTGAGCACTGTCCTGTCTTCCTCCCGTCCTGAGTGGGCGTCCAGCTTCAAGGCTCCCCCGCAGCCTGAGGGCTGAGCCTCCTCTGTCCCGGGTTCCCCCCTTTCCAGCAGGTGCTGGTTAACCCTCAGGTAGCCCCACATCCCTGCCCTGCCAAAGCCTGCCGAGTACTTGAGTCCCCTCTCCCGGGGCAATATTTGGGGGATGAGACTTCAGATCTGCTCAGACCCCACTGACCAGACAGCAGTACTGGGAGGGAAGAACCCTGGGCAGGGCAGGGGAAGCTGGGGGAGGGCAGGAAGAGGGCAGGGGGAGGGCTGTAGGGCAGTTTCCCACAGGGGAGGCACTGGGCTGACAAAGTGGGAAGCTGGCTCCAGGACTGATTCTGCGGTGGGTGAATCCAGAAAGTTTTCTCCCGAGGGAACCCCTCCTCTCTGAAAGGTTCCCTCAAATTGCCTCCAGCTGTGACGTCCTGGGATTGCGGGTCTACCCCTGGACAGGACTGTTCTGTGGCTTCTCCAAGGCCTCTCCTCCATGTCTCCCTCCTGTCTGTCCTCATCCTGGGTCCTGACGGGGACGGACAGCCGGGGAGTCTGCTTGGGCCCCGTCAGAACCCAGAGCCCAGGACTACCCGTGGTCACCTCCTCTGCCCTCCAAGGGGGGAGGGATGCATCTTCAAGGCTCCCTGCAGTCCTCAGGCCTCCGCTGTCTCTGGCTCTGCTCCTGAGCAGGTGTGCACCCCGGTGTGCATGGCCCACTTAGGACAGCGAGCTGCCTTGGCCAGGGTTGTGGGGATGGGGGTATGGGACAGCCGCTCAGAAACAGCCTGACCGGAGCCACACGGCAGCTGCCCATGGTCCGCAGAAACGCTGACCTCCGTGTCCCTGTCCCCTGGGGTGGACCCCTCTGACACACACAGGGGCACTGAGAGCGACAGTGTGGGGCTCAGAATTCCCGGGGAACAGCAAACAGGCAGGTGCCGCCCTGGGGGCAGATCTGCTGTCCCTCGGGGAGCCCCTGTTGGAACAAGGGCGGCTTCTCTGACTCGGAGTTGGTGTCCTGTGTACACCACACTCTGCGTATTTGCGCACGAAATGGGCTGTGGCCGTGGACTGGGTGGGGACGCGGGTGTGACGGGACACCGTTGTTCTGTGCATTAATTCATGAGGAGCCGCCAGGCTCATTCACAGGAGAAATGTTCCTTAAATATAATGTGACATAGTTTTCTCTCACCAGCCTGGCGAAGGGCGGAAAGCTTGATCACCGTGTGCCGGTGGGAACCTCAGCATTACTGGGGGGAGAGCTGCTGGGGTCGCTCTCAGGAGGGCGATGAGCAGAGTCTGTTAGAGGCTGAAATGGAGCTGCCTTTGGTCTAAGACCCACTAGTGGGTTATCCCAGTGTCTGCACACCCACGGGTACTGTCTACACCAACAAGTGTGATGTACGCACACCCACGTGTGGTGTATATGCAGCTGCCTGTGGTGTGTACACTCATGTGTGGTGGATACGCAGTCACGTGCGACCTATATACACACAAGTGTGGCATGTATACCCAGCGTGTGCTGTAGACACACCTATGTGTGACGCATGCACACCTGAGAGTGATGTGTGTGCCCCCATGTGTGAGGTGCCTGCACCCACATGTCGTGTGCTCCATAGCGTGTTGTACATACACCTGTGCATGACACGTATGCCCTGTGTATAGCATGTATGCTCCCATGTGTGGCTCGTATGTCCCCGTGTATAACACGTGTGCCCCATATATGATGCACATGTGCCTATGTGACTTCTGTGCACGGAACAGGACAGATATGCCCCTGCGTGTGACTCCGTAGGTCCCTGTGTGCAGAGCTTCCAATCCCAGGCTGCTCATGGGACCTGTGGGCAGGAACCAGAGCCACCTGACTGCCTGTCACACATGGAGGGAACTAGAGCCCCACGTGCAGCCGAACAGCGGTTCATGAGACTTCGCCGTGTGCAGACGCAGGCTAGAGGCTAGGCTAGAATCCCTTCTGGTCCCGAGCCATGCAGAGAAGGGGGGAGCAGAGCAGCGCAGGTGGTGTGGGGTCTGGCAGGTGGAGACACACGTAGGCACCTGTCAGTGCAGAGACCCCCGAAGGAGGGACACACGGGAACCTGGAACAGCAGCAGCCTGTGGGAAGGGCAATGCGGCAGTGGGGCTCAGAGGTCGGGGAGAGGCTGCATTTCCATGTCCAGCGTCCTCCTTTACTGCAATGTGGAATCTGCTTAAAATCTAAGACAATTTAAAAGCTGCTGAGTGCGGCTGAAATGCAACCTTCTCACCTTAGAAAGGGGACGACACTCTGCACCCGCCTGCGTCAGGGGGTGTCCTGGGATCCCGAGATGCCCGGAATCTGACGAAGCAGTAAACGTAGGGAAAGGGCCTCACATTCATGGGGAGCCTGTGTTCTCAGGTGAGCGAGCGGCAGGTGGCCCAGGTACCTGTAAACTCCCCACAGCCTAACGCACTGATGAGACGACAAGGAAGCAGTCGCTGTGGGGGCTTTCTCATGTGTCGTCACATTTAATCCTTGCAGGAGCCCCGTGGACACGCTCACATCTCATCCTGGTGGTTCCCATGTGGGAGCTCCAGGCTTAGACAGTTTAGGAAGTCACTTGGGGCCGCTCAGCCAGTAAAGGGCGGATCTGGAATGTGACCCCAGGTGTGTCTCATCCCAGAGCTCATGATATGTGACCTGCTGGCCAAGATCCCAGGCCAAGACCCCAGGAGCCCTCACCGGGTCCACATGGGATAGGGGCTGCAATTCCTGGACTCCTGCCTCAGGTTCCTGGGGCTGCTGAAACAGGACAGTGTAAACCCTTAAACAACACAATCTTTTTGTCTCCTGGTTCTGGAGGCTGAGAGCCCAAAATCAAGGTTTTGGCCAATTCGCTTTCTGAAGAGAGGGAGGGAGCACTGTGCTGTGGGGACGCATGGTACTTGTGTCCCGACGTGCTAGAGGGACTGGAGGGGTGCAGTGTGGCTGTGCCCGACTTGGTGAAGCCTGTGGGAGCCATGCCAGGACCTCACCCCTCCCTGGCTGTTGGCCAGAGGCTGCCCTCCGTCCCTCCCCATGGGGGTCTCTCCACGAGGCTGCCAACAACACGGCAGCGGACTTTGTCAGAGCGAGCAGGACACAGGGTGAAAAAAGATGAGGTCACACTCCTGTCGGACCTGCTGTCCCTGAGGGCTGCCCATCACATTAGCGGCACTCTGCTCCTTAGAAGTGAGTCCTGGGGGCAGACCCCCTCCAAGGGCAGAGGTCGCATGGCCTGTGGGCATGAGGGGTCTCTGCAGCCCCGTGAGAACCTGCCTCCTGCAGAAATGCACTCGCTGTGGCCCCAAAAGGTGTTCATGCTTCGGATCCAAGACCTCCTGACATTCGTCCTCTTGCTGTCAGGGGTCAGGACACTGCAGGTGAGCAAGTTCCCGTGACCTGTTCCAGGGGACGCTCCCCTGGGACCAGGAGGGATTCCAGCCTCGCCCCAAATTCATGGCACTCTCCTGCCTTCTCAGGTCAAGGGGGCACACGGGATGGATTTCATGAAGCAGGATTCTAGGGTTTTCTCCTTTATTCCTAATGAAAACCGCCCATGTTTTCTGTGTCCTAGGTGTCTGCAGCGCTGTGACCCAGAGTCCTGGAGCCCGTGGGTCTGCTCTGGACGATTCTGGAAACCCTGTTCCTCTGAAGGGGACTCTGGGAGCTTCTGTGTTGTTTCACATGATTAAAAATCCAGAATTACCTCCAGGAGCCAAGCTGGAGAGTATTACTTGGGGCATTATAAATCAAAAAATCTACACACCCGTACTACAAGTTAGTCCAGGGGGAGATGTTCTACGATGGGTCAACTTCCAGGACAAGTTCCAGAAGAGGGTCCACGTGCTCAACACAACGACCCTGAGGATTGACAACCTGACCCCTGAGGACAGTGGGCTGTACCGGGCTCAAGAGTCCTATACGAGAGGAAGACAATATGACCAGGATTTCCACCTGACGGTCTATGGTATGTGGCGGCCCCTCCCCCAGTCCCAGAGCTGACCCCCTTCCACTGTCCCCAAGAGTGTCCGTGCACCTCGCTTATAGGATTCCTTCCAGACCGCAGCCTTCAGACTCGATCTTCTCCCCAGAAATTAGATGCTGTGCGGTCACCACAAATGCAGGCAGAGCTGAGACTCACACCAGGGATGAATCATGTCTGTGCTTCTGGAGGGAACATGGAATAGGAGGAAATGGGGATTTACTGTAACACTCATTGTCCCCATAGGACTCAGGATTTTTCGTGGGACTCTTACTGTCTTGTCCTGCTGTGACAGGTGAGGACACCTCAGTGGCTGACCACACCACCCCCTGGGGGTCCTCCTGGGCTGTAGGGCAGGAGTCAGACCCCAGAGCCTCTGCCATGAGGTCCAGGTATCAGCAGGGCTGTGCTCCTCACTGCAGGCTCTGGGGAGAATCCATTTCTGTTCCTGTCCCCCTTCTAGTGGCTATCACATCTCCTGGACCATGGCCCATTCCTCTCCCTTCATAGGTGGCACTGGTGGGATGAGTCCCCTTGACACTGTGTCCCTCCCACCTCCTCTCCTGCCTCCTCCCATTTGTGAGGACCCTGTGATCACATGGGGCTTGTCTGAGGAATCCAAACCATTTCTAGTTTAGAATCAGCTGGTTTTCAGCCTCAGTTCCCCTTTGCCCTGGAACCTAAGACAGCTGCGGACTCTGAGGGTCAGCACATGGCCATGGTTAGGGGACACTCGTCACCTAGCAGGATCTGGAATCCCATGTGTGGTTCTCCCCGCCCCGTCCCCTCGTCCTTCTCAGCCCAGCCCCAGTCCGCTCACTCACAGACTCCGCGGTCCAGCTCTGAACCCCCACGGATGGAGGAGAATTCACAGGGTAGCCCTTCCCCAGACCCTCAGGGAGCAGCTCGCTCTCCCTGCACCCCTCCCTCCCTGCACAGGAAGACGTCCTGCCCCAGAGAGAGAGAGGCCTTCGCAGATTCAGGTCCTGGAGATTTCCAGGTAGACTCCCAGTCTGTCCCTTGTCTTCCTGCTGGACCCCAAGTTCGGTGCATATTACAAAAATTGGGGTGGCCTTTCCTAGGAACCACCACCATGTCCTCCACTGTGGTCTTTCCTGGTTGAGCCTGGGACCAATCTCTGGGCTCCCAGAGCTGGCCAGTGGCTGTCTGCACCACGGGCTGTGCCGTCCCAGGAACCATCGGAGCAGGAGTAGAGCCGGGCCCTGGACCAGGACAAATCCTTGTGTCTCACACTTAACCATCCTGTAGGGGACACATCACTTTCTTGGAGTTAATGGTTTTCAGGCAGATGACTCCAGCGTTTAATTTCTCAAGGGAGATTTGTAAGACGTGCTCAGTCTAGTGAAATCACATAGAGCTGAACTCAGTGGCTCCCTTCCTGATTGGCACCTGCTGTTTATTTGGGTCACTTCTCTGTGATCTGTAAAATGCAATCGCCATCCTAGGGGGAGGAAGCCAGAGCTTCAGGGAGAATCCACAGGAGAAAGCAGGAGCCGTGATGTTCTCCACTCACCTGAGACTGTCCTCTTGTCCCTCCCGCCCCAGAGCCTGTGCCCCTTCCCCAGATCCAGACCACGGATCTGTCCCTCACACCAGGCTGGTGCAACCTCACCTTGGAGTGTGTCCTTACGAGAACCAGGGAGGACCTGACGGTGTCCTGGGAGAGCAAGGGTCTCCCCAGGGAGCTGGAGCAGAGACCGGCCCCAGGACCATCCCCCAACCCCTGGACACTGGCTGTGAACCTGCCCCTGAGTCGGCCCAGAACCAGCATCACCTGTGTGGTCAGCAACCAGGGGGACCAGAAAACTGTCACCCTGGAACTTGGGGACGTCTGTGATCATGGTGAGTGCACCTGCTAGAGGGGAGGGACATTCTTGGGGTCAGGGAGACCTGGGTGAGGGTTCTCGGCTTCTTTCCCCCACATTTATGTCACCCCCGGCCACCGGGTCACCCCATCCAGGACTCTGGCAGGCACATCCAACCTGCCTCTGCCCTTTGATGTCCCTCCCGTGCTGCTCTCCAGCCCTCACCCCTCCTGGTCCAGGCAGCACCCAGCAGGTACCTCTCCCCGCCCTCATCCATCACCGTGAGTGTGTCCACGGTGGTTTTCAGGAAAAGCGAGTTGGGGATATCGGTGGTCTCTGCCATCTGAGGGGTCTGGCTGGCGACTCTCTGCAGGATTCAGGGCTCGCAGCTCCTCTGCCCATTTCTGGTCTCACAGACACATGTCACCCACTTGCTGGTTTGCATTCCCGATGTGTCCCGCTCTCCTCGGCTGCCAGCCTCCGCTCAGGCCCCTCCCTCTGCCCTCAGACCTTCCAAGTCAGGAGTCCTCCACTCCCCACTTATTCCCATCCAGGGATCCCCTCCCTGCAGCTGGCTCCGGGAGACTGTGACCCGGGCATCCCACAGGGCCACTTGCTGGGGGCAGTCCCAGAATGAAGAGACTTTCCACAGGGGCTCCTCAGTCTCAATGGCTCAGGGCCCTGCAGGAGCTGCTGATGTCCTGCCCTCACACCTCGTATCCTCTAAGGAGCAGTCACTGGCCCCACACTGGGAGCTGATGCTCTGGCCCAGGATTAGTGTCCTGTGTAGTCTGAATCCCTGGAGGGCAGGAGCCATGTCTGCTTCTCCTTTGAATGCTTATCCTAGGCTTAGCCTTGGGCCATTTCCTCACAGTCACCGTATTCCTGAATGAATGACTGACCTGGTTCCCCGTGATTCCCCTCCCCCCTTCACCCACTCCTCCACCAGCTGATGGGAGACCTGCTGCCTCCATATCCGTGATCCCAGAGGAAGCTCATGGCTCAGGACCCACTGGGCCCTCTGGAAAGAGGCTCCTGCCTCCCTCTCATCCTCCCACCCAGCTCCCCCTACCTTGTCCCTCTCTGGCCTGCCCAGTTGGTTCCAGCAGCTCCCAGGTTTGGGGAGTTGTCACAGCCATTCCTGGTCATGGCTCTCCATCCTGGGATGCGTCACCCACCCTGAATATCGGGCAATCTCCTGCTCCTCCCTCAAGACTAGGTTTATGCATCACCTCCTCCAGGAGGCCCTCCCTGATGACCTGGGTACAGGCTGTAAGCTCTAGTGTCCTGGGATGGCTCTGGCTGGCTGCCTCTGGCATGTGCTCAGCCCTCGACCCACTAAGGGGCTCCTCAAGGATGGGCACCATGTCCTGCTCCTCTCAACACCCCGGCCCCAAGCAGGAGCTCGGGAACTGGCTGAGTGAGAGCCGCTGCCGTGCTGCTCCCTCTCGAGCTTCTGAGCAGGTCCCTTCAGAGTCTCCATGTGCCTGGCAATGGGCGTCCTCAGTTCTCTGTCACCTTAACCTTCTTCACTCTCTCTGTGCGATGGAAACGTATCCACAAGGACAGACCAGTGCTGCCCACTTGCGAAACATCCTGGTGCCTGTTGTGGCCGTGCTGCTGATCCTCAGAGCTGGGCTGTACCTTTGGAAGAAACATGGGAATAAGAAGACCATGGAGCCTGGGAGAGGCAGGTTACACTTCTCCTTCTTGTGGCCAAGTCTTCCCTCCCCTACTATACCCTGGATTCTCTTTCCTCCTGCATTTTGCTGCTCAGGGATTGTCACTGCAGGAGGTGGGCAGGTGTGGCCATGGTCATGGGGGTCATGGAGGGGGAGGGGACAGGTTCCAGGCTGAGACTCAAGCTCCATCTGTGTGTGACTCAGGGACAGGATCACAGGAGGAGACCAGGGACCCAGATGGTGGCATCCACTATGCAGAGCTGAGCCAGCAGGAGTCTGGAGACCACAGGGACAAGGTGAGGCTGGGGGAGGAGGCAGCCTGGGTTCTCCCAAGTCCCTCTGTGCCTGCGTGTGTGCCTTCAATCCCAGTCATCTGCTGGCTTTTGTCTCCATGCCTTTGTAACCCTTTCCAGACAACACAGTATTAACTTAAGAACATTCTCCTGGGGTCCACGCAGTGCTGGGTGCTGGGCAGGGGAGGTCATGTAAGTAGCACTGGGTCTGTGGGGGTCCCTCTGCATCCCTCAGCTGTTCCTGGAACCCTCCGTCTGCATTCCAGGGTAGGGGAGAACCACATCTAGAAGAGGAGAACTCTCTCTCTACTGTCTACAGTGAGGTCCGCAGGCCAGGCCAGGACATGACCATGATTTAATGGGAAGAAGCATGAGACTCCCACCCTGGGGACCCCTGTCTCGTGAGTATGATGCCCACAGCTCTGGTCCTGCCTCTTCCACCTCCGATGGCTCTGAGCAGGACTGGTTGGATCCAGCAGTTCTTTCTGTGCTAAATCCTTGTGCACAAGCTCCCCGTGAGACACACACTGGTAGATCGGGGGAAACTGAGTAAATAAATTGGTCCCCACCTGTTCCAGGACCACTCAGCCTCTGCTAATGCAACCCTAGTCGGCCCCCTGTCCCCCTCATCTGTATGACATCAAACTGGCTTTCAGACCCTCAGCCTCTGAGACAAATCACGGAGCATTCACAGCATCCCACCTGGACCCGTCTTGAGCACCCCCAGCCGTCAGTCCTGCACAGAGAGGTCTTTATAGACAATGTGAATTCGTAATTGTCCGCGCTTGCTGGGGACTGGCTCTGTGACACAATGTGCTCATTTTGTTTGTGGGGAATATGGGAGAAGTTCTCTTGAGCCCTAGAAAAACACTGTAAGGTCTCCTCTTGGTAAAGGACACACTTTCTCTCCTTCCATGCTCTACCGTCATTCCCCCAAGTGACAAAACTGCCTGCTGTTGGCCTGAATTAGTAATTCAAGCAGTGAAAAGTGGGTCTCAAATGCCCCTTCCTCTCCATCTCACAGCTGAGCCTGGAGATCCACTGGAAGCAGGTAGATCCCCTCAGATCAGAGGAAAGTAGAGAAGCTTCTCATCCCAAAAACCTCAGTGTCTGCACAGGAGCGCACACACACACACACACACGCACACGCACACACCAGCCTCCAGCCATGCAGCTGTCTGGTCAGAACTAGGGCTGTCCCACAAACACGCAGATC